GCCCCTAGGAAAGCAGCATTAGTACGAACACTAAACCAGAAGCTAAGCTAAAGCTAAGTTAAAACTGAGCTAAAGCTAAGCTAAAGCTAAGCTAAAGCTAAGCTCAAGGAAAGCTAAAACTAAGATGAAGCTAAGCTAAAGCTAAGCTAAGGCTAAGCTAAGGCTAAACTACCGCTAAGCTAAACCTGAGCTAAAGCTAAGGTGCAGATAAGCTAAAGCTAAGCTAAAGCTAAGCTAAAGCTACGGTAAAGGCTAAGCTACAGCTAAGTTAAAGCTAAGCTAAAGCTACGGTAAAGGCTAAGCTAAAGCTAAGCTAACACTAAGCTAAAAGCTAAAGCTAAGCTACAGCTAAGCTAAAGCTACGGTAAAGGCTAAGCTAAAGCTAAGCTAAAGCTAAGCTAAAGCTAAGGTACAGCTAAGGTACAGCTAAGCTAAAGCTAAGCTAAAGCTAAGCTAAAGCGAGGCTAAAGCTAAGCTGAAGCTAAGCTAAAGCTAAGCTAAAGCTAAGCTAAAACTAAAGCAAAGCTAAGCTAAAGCGAAGCTAAAGCTAAGGTGCCGCTAAGCTAAAGCCAAACTAAAACTAAGCTAAAGCTAGGCTGACGCTAAGCTGAAGCTAAGCTAAAGCTAAGCTAAAGCGAAGCTGAAGCAAAGCTACAGCTAAGCTAAAGCTAAGCTACAGCTAAAGCTAAAGCTCTCAGGGGACTGGGGGAACCGCGAGGCGGGGACTGGGGGAACCGCCCGGGGCGCTTTCCACTGCCCGGCCCCTTTAAGCTAGAGAGTAAGAACCATTCTAGGCAGAGCCTATGTAGGGAATAAAAGATACTCCAACAATACTCCAAAATGGTGGAAATTATCCCAGTGCGACCCTACCTAGGAGTTGGAGCATTTAGGAAAGCAACATCTACATCTACAACGACAGCTACATTTACAACTACACCTGCATCTACATCTACATCTACATCAACAGCGAAAATCTCACATCTACATCTACACCTACATCTACACCTTCATCTACATTTACATCTACATCTACACCTACATCCACATCTACACCTACATCTACATTTACATCTACACTTTCGCATTGGTTCCGCTGTTGCTTTGCACTGCCTTTGCTGTTGCTCTTGCCTTTGAGTTTGCCTTTGCCTTTGCTTTTGCTGTTGCGTGTGCTGTTGATAGTGCTTTGCTTTTGTGTTTGCTTATGCTATGCTGCGCTGTGTTATGTTAAGCAATGATATGCTATGCTGCGCTATGTTATGCTACGCTATGTTATGCTATGCTAGGCTATTATGAGCTATGCTAAGCTATGCTATGCTATGCTTGGCTATGCTATGCTATGCCATGCTGCGCTATGCTGTGCTAATGCTGCGCTATGCTGCGCTGCGCTAAGCTAAGCTAAGGTAAGCTAAGCTAAGCTAAGCTAGGCTAGGCTAGGCTAAGCTAAGCTAAGCTAAGCCAAGCCAAGCTAAGCTAAGCTAAGCGAAGCTAAGCCAAGCTAAGCTAGCAAGGATGAGATAAGCGAAGCTAGGCTTAGCTTAGCTAAACTAAGCTGGGTGAACCCAGAGGGGCGCCACTGGGGGAACCGCGGGGCGGGGACTGGGGGAACCGCCCGGGGCGCTTTCCACTGCCCGGCCCCTTAAGCTAACAGAGTAAGAACCCTTCTAGGCAGAACCTAGGTAGGGAAAAAAACAAGAAGGAAGTTTGTAGCGATGTTCGGACTCCAGAGGCCCTCGACGGGCCCCGGGACCGTCAAAAAACGACTCGGAATGAAAAGCCAACCCCGGTGAAGTAGTCCAGACCTCCAGGGGGCACGCATTGAAAATGTCAAGATATCGGATGTGCGGGAACGCAAGGGGGGTTTGGCGAATCAGCTACACGTAGCCAGTTTTCCCAGCGCCTCCCGGCGCCGGAGGCGGCGCCCAAATACCAAGAAATGAAGCCGGCGTCGGCGGGGGCCATCGGGAGGAGTCCTGAGGCCCAGATCCCCTCGCGCCGCGGAAAAAACTCGACGGGTGGCTTCGGTATATTTTGGCCTCTGGGGGCCCTCCCTGGGCCCCGGGACCGTCAAACAACGACTCGAAGGCTGAAAAGCCGGCCCCGGGAAAGGGCTTCCAAACTTCTGCATGGGGGCCGAGAGCTTCTCAGGACATGCCGACGAACATCCATGAGGCGGGAGACGCGCAATCCGGTCACAGATTCACGGTGGCGGACAAGGCCGAAAGCCATGGCATACATGGCCTGTTTGGGCCGTCTTGGAACCCCTCTGGGGCTTCGGGTTCCGTGTCGGAGCCACGTTTGGTGGCCTCCGAGGCCGCCTTGGGCGCTTCTCGTGGGCCTCTTGGAAGCAATGTGGACACTCCCTTGGGGCCGTATGGGAGCCTCTTTTGGGCCTCTTTTGGGCCTCTCTTGGGGGCCTCTTCGGCCCTCTTGGAAGCCTCTTGGGAGCCTCTTGGGGCCTCTTGGGAGCTTTTTGGGGCGGCAAACTCGAATTTGCGGTTCGGGCTCCCCCTCTCGGGCCCGTGTTGGGGCTGTCTTGAGGCCCTCCTGGGCCTTCTTGGGCGACTCTGGGGCGTCCCCGAGGCCACAATCCCGCGTACATTGCTCAAGATTCGCGTCTCAAAGACCACGACCCCTCGTAAATTACTCAATAGGCGCACCCCCGAAGCCATAATCCCTTCTAAATGACGCCACGTTCACAAACAGGCCTCACGACATACTTCGGAATCGCCTCCCCCTGCCCCCTTTCCCCGGTGCCTAGACAAGGGGGCGACAACAACCGACGAACTAAAACACAAATCGACAAACTAACGCAAAAACCTACAAACTAAAACAACAATCGGCAAACTAAAACAATTACAAACTAAAACAAAAATCGACAAAAGAAAACAATCATCAACCAAATGTGCTACGATGTCTAAGGAAGACTCTTGGAGACGATTCGGGACCATCTTGGGGACACATTGAAAGCCTCTGGGAGCTTCTTGGATGGAACCTCCTACGGGGCACGAACCGCGCGAGAGGGTGCGTGTCGAAACTCGAAGTGCGAAAACAAACAGGCAGCAACAGCAGCGAACGCAGAAACATGCAATGCAACGCTAATCGCGCTCGCGCTCACTTGAGCAAGCTCCGGTTCTTCCTGAGAACCAAAAAGCCCAAAGCCACCCAGAAACGCCACTGAACAACTCGAAAGCCTTCTTTGGGGTCGGCGGCAGAGGCGGCAGCCTTTAAATTTAAACAGGACCTTACCAAAACGAAACGAGACCCTAGGAAATTTAAACAGGACCCGAGGAAAAAAAAAAAAAAAAAACTAAACGAGACCTTAGGACAACTAAACAGGACCCTACCAAACCTAACCGAGACCATAGGGAAACTAAACAGGACCCCGCCAAAACTAAACGATACCCTAAGACAACTAAACAGGACCCTACCAAAACTAAACGAGACCCTAGGAACACTAAACAGGACCCTACCAAAACTAAACGAGACCTTAGGACCATTAAACAGGACCATGCCGACACTAAACGAGACCCTCGGAAAACGAAACAGGACCCTCGCAAAAGTAAGCGAGGCCCACGGAAAACTAAACAGGACCCTAGCAAGACTAAACGAGGCCCTCGGACAACTAAACAGGACCCTGCCACAACTAAACGAAACCGTAGTAAAACTAAACAGGACCCTAGGACAACTAATCGAGACCCTCGGTGAAAAAAAATACACAGAACCTTAACACAACTAAACGAGACCCTGGGACAACTAAACAGGACCCTAGCACAAGTAAGCGAGACCCGAGGAACACTAAACAGGACCCTACCAAAACTAAACGAAACCCTAGCTGTCGAGGGCCCAGCTGTTGAGAAAGTGAGCGGCGGTCCAGGCTTTTTTCTGTGTGGTGTCGGGTGAGTGACTGGTTGAGTCCATGCTCATGCTAAGGCGATAGGGTGCCCTCCACTATTTTTGCACTGCGCGCTGGGGCTCAGCTGCTGCTCGCACTGATGGCCGCTCGTTCCTGGCCGAACCTAGGCCTTGCCTCGGCCTCTGGCGTGGCCGAGTCACTGCTGCCTCTGGCGCGCGGCTGCCTCTGGCGCCTTCTGAGGCCAGGGCGGCGTCGCGGCAGCTGGCGCCGCGACACTTGCGAGCGGAAAAGCACGTCGTCGTCGCCGCCGCCATCGTGGTAGGCGCCATCATGACCACCCACATCATCAGCACAATCAGCGACATCATGACCACCGACATCATGACCATCGCCATCGTGACCCCTGACATCATGACCACCGACATCATGACCATCGTCATCATGATAACCGACATCATCTCAATCCTCAGCTTCGCCCCCGCCGCCCTCATCGACCACCGACCATGGTCGTGTGAGTCGTGGTGTAGTAGTCGCCATTTTCACCACAGATCATGGCCGCGTTTAGTTTTCTCTTGGGTCGCGTTTAGTTCCCCGCTGCTGGGTCGTCCTGGACGGCGCCAAGGGGGGGCCGAGCATGCTGTACCCCGGCCTGCCGAATGCATGATGACGAAAATGAAGATGATGACGATGATGGCGATGATGATCGTGATGATGGTGATGGCGATGTTGACGGTGGAATACATATAAGACCCTAGGCAATGACGGTGATGGTGAGGACGACGCTGGCGATGCTGCCGAGGAAAACTAGACGAGACCCTAGGACAACTAAACAGGACCCTCGCAAAAGTAAACAAGACCTTAGGTAAATTAGACAAGACCATAGGAAAACAAAACGAAACCCCAGGCAAACTAAACAGGATCCCGGACAAACTAAACAAGACCCTAGGAAAACTAAACAGGACCCTGCCAACCTTAAACGAGACCGTAGGAAAACTAATGAGGACCCGGGCAAAACTAAACGAGACCTTAGGACAACTAAACAGGACCCTAGCAAACCTGAACGAAGGGGTGAATCAAGGGGCGCCAGCGGATGGGCTCACCGAAGGGGTGAATCAGGTGGGGCGGGATGGTGGGGCGCTGGTCTCGGTCACCGAACCAGAAGGCCTGCCCGCTCCGCTTGATTCCACCCTTCCGTTGGCCCAGGGCCCAGCGCGTCGGCGCGTGGGTGCTGTGTGCGGAGCTGCTTGAACGTCTTGCTCAGCAGCGCGTTGTCCATGCTCTGGGGGGCCTCGACGAGGCCAGGGGTGAAAGCAGCCAGCGCTGCCCTCATGTCGGCCGCCTTATTGGCGTGACAAGGCCCGTGTCCGCGCCTCTCCGTCTTGAACATCACCGACCATGGGAGCTGGATGCGAAGAGCGCCCATCGCTGCCCTGACGCTGCGCTCGCCGCTCAAGTCCGACAACGTCGTGGACGCCTTGACGATGAACGGATCAGGTCAGTCCTCGAAGTGTCAAGCTGCGAGGCGCAAGCTGGGGCGCCGTGCAGCCTTGGGCGGCCGCCCTCAGGAGCGCTGAGCGTGGCGGCGGCCAGGCGGCGCTCGGGCCCTGCGGGTACGCCCAGGCGTTGCAAGGACAGGCGGAAGACGGAACAGAGACGACGACGACGGCGACGACGACGACGACGACGACGACGACGACGACGACGACGACGACGACGACGACGACGACGACGACGGCGACGGCGACGGCGACGGCGACGGCGACGACGACGACGACGACGACGACAACGGCGAAAGCGGCGTGCGTCGCGGCACGGCAAGAGGCACGGCGCGGGGCACGTCACCAGGCACGGCACCAGGCACGGCACGAGGCACGGCGCGAGGCACGGCACCAGGCACGGCACCAGGCACGGCACGAGGCACGGCACCAGGCACGGCACCATGCACGACACGAGGCACGGCCCATGAACCTTTGTTCCGTCTTCCGCCTGTCCTTGCAACGCCTGGGCGTACCCGTTGACGGCCGCCTCCGAGGCGCAAGCTGACCGTGTCAGGATCAAGGAAAGGACAAGCTGAACACTTGGTGTCAAGCTTCCTTCAACGAGATTGCAGTCGCGGTGGATCGCTTCGGAAGCAGTCCACCGTCGTCGCCGTCGCCGTCGCCGTCTTCGTCGTCGTCGTCGTCGCCGTCGCCGTCGCCGTCGTCGTCGTCTCTGTTCCGTCGTCCGCCTGTCCTTGCAACGCCTGGGCGTACCCGCAGGGCCCGAGCACCGCCTGGCCGCCGCCGCGCTCAGCGCTCCTGAGGGCGGCCGTCCAAGGCTGTACGGCGCCCCAGCTTGCGCCTCGCAGCTTGACACCTCAAGGACTGACCTGAGCGGCGAGAAGCGCGGATACGGGCCTTGTCACGCCGATAAGGCGGCCGACATGAGGGCAGCGCTGGCTGCTTTCACCCCTGGCCTCGTCGAGGCCCCCCAGAGCATGGGCAACGCGCTGCTGAGCAAGACGTTCAAGCAGCTCCGCATAGCTTCCCACCCTTCGCGCCCTGCCCCGCCTGAAATCATTCGCCATTGTGGTTCAAAACTCAGGCTCCTTCACACATTTCTACGCGGTGAACTCTTCCACGCGTGGCCATGTCTGCGCAGCCCAGGACCCCTCCGCACCCGCCGCCGCCATCGCCACCGGAGCTGCCCCAGGAGACGCCGCCGCCCGCAGATGCAATGGTGACAGTGGTGGAGGACAGCTCGAGAGCTCGAGCGAAGCCGAAGGCCCTGCGCATGAAGCCTCATGGCGTGGAGATGGTGGTGCCACCCAGGAGGATCTCCAGGGCAGCATGCCGCGTGGCCTGAGTTTTGCCGCCGCACACAGCGCGCCACCGCATGCCGACGGCGGCGAGGGATCTTCAGCGGCGGCTCCGGCGGGCATTGGGGAGACGCCAAAGGCTGAGCTGCCAATGGCAACGGCAAAGTCTGATGAGGGAGGGGGTCGGAATCGGCCTCGGCGCAAGCTGACGAAGGTCGTCTACGAGAAGCGCGGGAAGTGCATCGTGCATATTTCCAAGGAGGGCGAGGTGATCCCCGACGGCCTTGGCGATATCTTCCAGGGGTTGACGTCGACGCGCACCAACAAGTACTCGGCTGGCACCAAGACGAGGGGCCCGCTGGACGTCAAGTACACGGTGGAATACACGTGCGAGGAGGTTTGGGAGACGACGTCGACCGTGTTGGAGTCCGACTCCGATTGAGGCAATGGTGGAGGAGGAGGCCAATTAAGGCCATGGTAGATGAGACGGCCGTCTTCTGAAGGCGGCGACCGTGCATGAGTCCGACTCCGATTGGGGCCACCGTGGCATTTGCACGATGACGGCGGCTTCATTATGGTGCCGTGGAGCGTTTGCGTGCCGACCCGCGGCGTCAAGCCGACGTGTGGCGTCGTTTCCAGCCGACCTGCGGCGACCTGATTTGCCGTGGAGTGTGGCACTTGTTTCAATTCGTTCGATGATGGTTGCATTGGTTGGTCCGCGGCGGCTTGGAGAAAGGTTTTCTGAAGGGATGCACCCCTTCATCCGCTGGCGCAAAGCAGCCGGCGCCAGCCTCGCCGTCCCTGCTGGCCTCAGCCTAGTTGCCTAGGCCTCTGGCGTGGCCGAGTCACTGCCTCTGGCGTGCCGCTGCCTCTGGCGCGCCTTCCGAGGCCGAGGCGGCGTCGCGGCAGCTCGCGCCGCGACGCTTGCGAGCGGAAAAAGACGTCGTGGTAGGCGCCATCGTGGTCACCCACATCATGGTAGGCGCCATCGTCACCGCCGCCATCGTGGTAGGCGCCATCATGGCCACCCACATCATCAGCACAATCAGCGACGTCATGACCACCGTCATCATGACCATCGTCATCATGACCCCTGACATCAGGACCACCGACATCATGACCATCGTCTTCACGACCGCCTACATCATCTCAAGCTAGAGCCCCCCCCCCCCCCCCCCTAGCAAAACTAAGCGATACCCTCGGACAACTAAACAGGACCATGCCAAAACTAAACGGGACCCTCGGAAAACTAAGCAGGACCTTGCCAACGCTAAACGAGACCCGAGGAACAAAATACACAGGACCCTGGCAAAACTAAACGAGACCCTAGGAACACTAAACAGGACCCTACCAAAACTAAACGAGACCGTAGGAAAACTAAACAGTACCCAGCCAAAACTAAACGAGACCCTCGGACAACCAAACAAGACCCCGCCAAAACTAAACGAGACCCTAGGCAAATTAGACACGACCCTAGGACAACTAAGCAAGACACGAGGACACCTGAACAGGACCCTGCCAAAACTAAACGAGACCGTAGGACAACTAAACAGGACCCTCGCAAAACTAAAGAGACCCTGGGACCTATAAACATGACCCCACCAAAACTAAACGAGACCGTAGGGCAACTAAACATGACCCTAGCAAAACTACATGAGACCCTGGGACGACTAAACAAGACCATAGGACAACGAAACGAGACCCTAGGACAACTAAACAGGACCCTGCCACAGCGAAACGAAACCCTCGGAAAACTAAACAAGACCACCGGAAAAGCACACAGGATCTGACTCAAATTAAACGAGGCCCTACCAAAACTAAACGAGACCCTAGGACAATTAAACATGACCCTGCCAAAACTAAACGAGACCCTCGGACAACTAAACGGGACCCTGCCAGAGCGAAACAAAATCCCAGGCAACGTACACAGCGCCCTAGGGCAACTAAACACGACCCTGCCAAATTAAACAGGGCCCTTCCAATTCTAAACGGGACCCTGGGACAATTAAACGAGATCTTAGGAACACCAACAGGGCCCTACCAAACTTACACGAGACCTTGCGAAAACTAAGCAGGACCTTGCCAAAACTAAACGAGACCGTATGACAACGAAACAGGACCCTTGCAAAACCAAAAGGACCCTAGGACAACTACACATTACCCTACCATAACTAAACGAGACCCTAGGAAAACTAAACAGGACCTCGCCAAAACTAAACGAGAACATAAGAAAACCAAACAGGACCCCACTACAATTAAACGAGGCCATAGGACAACTAAGCAGGACTTTGCCAAAACGAAACGGTACGGTAGGAAAGCTAAACATAGCCTTAGCAAACTCAACGAGACCATAGGAACACTACAAAGGACCCTACACAACTACACGAGACGTCAGAATCACTAAGCAGGGCCGTAGGAAAAAAAAAAACCTCACGAGACCCTCGGAACACGAAACAGGACCCTACCAAAATTAAACGAGACCGTAGGACAACTAAGCAGGACCCTACCAAAACTAAGCGAGACCCTGGGAAAACTAAACAGGACTCTGCCACACATAAACAAGACCACGCGACAATTAAACAGCACCCTGCCAAACTTAAGCGGTACCATAGGAAAACTAAACAGGATCCAGCCAAACGTAAAGGAGACCTTAGGACAAATAACCATGACCTTAGCAAACCTGAACGAGAGCCTAGGCAAACTAAACAGGACTTTAGCAACACGAAACGAGACCCTAGGAAAACTAAGCAGGACCCTGGCAAAACTAAGCGAGACCCTAGGAAAAGTAAGCACGACCTTGCCACAACTAAACGAGACCATAGGACAATTAAACAAGACCCTGCCAAAACTAAACAAGTCCCTCGGCAGACTAAACATGACCGTGGCAGCATTAAACGGTGCCCTTGGAAAATTAAACATGGTCCTAGCAAAACTAAACGAGACCCTAAGACAAATAGACGGGACCCACAAAACAACGAGACCATATGAAAACTAACAGGATCCTAGCAAAACGAAACGAGACCCTAGAACACCAAAATGGACCCTACCAAAACTGAACGAGACCCTAGAAACAAATTTACATGACCCTAGTAGCACTAAACGAGACCCTCGGACAACTAAACAGGACCCTAGCAACACTCAACGAGAGCATTGGGAACATAAGCATGACCCTAGCAGCACTAAATGAGACCTTAGGAAAACTAAACAGGACCCTGCCAAAACTAATCGAGACCCTAGGAAAGCTAAACAGAACCCTAGCAAAACTAAACGAGACCCTGGGAACATGAAACATGGCCCTACCAAAACTAAACGAGGCCCTAGGACAACTAAACAAGACCCTGCCGCAAGTAAACGAGACCCTAGGAAAACTAAACCGTACCCTACCAAAACTAAACGAGACTCTAGGAACACTAAGCAGGACCGTGGCAACATTAAACGAGACCCTAGGACAATTAAACAGGACCCTCGCAAAACTAAACGAGACCTTCAGACATTAAAGATGACCTTGGGGAAACTAAACGAGACCCTGGGGAAAACTAAACAAGACCAAAGGAAATTGTAACAAGACCCAAGGACAGCTTAACAGGGCCCCAACAAATTTAAACGAGACCGTACAGACAATTAAACATGACCCTACCAAAACTAAACGGGACCCCAGGAAAACTCAACAGGACCCTAGCAACACTAAACGAGACCCTAGGACAACTAAACGTGGCCCTAGCAAAACTAAACCAGACCCTGGGGAAACCGAACAGGACCCTAGCAACACTAAACGAGACCCCAGGAATACAAACCAGGACCCTACCAAAACTATGCAAAACCATTGGAAGCCTAAGCAGGACCCTAGCAAAACTAAACGATACTCCAGGAAAACTAAACAGGACCTACCAAAACTAAACGAAACCCTCGGACAACTAAACAGGACCAGCAAGACTAAACGAGACCGTCGGAAACCTACACAGGACCCTAGCACAACTAAACGAGACCCTCGGAAAACTAAACAAGGCCCTAGCAAACTTAAGCGAGACTTTGGGACAACTAAACAGGACCCCGCCAAAACTAGACGAGACCCTAAGACAACGAAACATGACCCTAGCAAAACTAAGGGAGACCATAGGAAAATTAATCATGACCCTGCCAAAACTAAACCAGACCCAATGCAAAGTTAAAAGAACACCCCTACCAAAACTAATCGAGACCCTCGGGAAAGTAAACAGGACCTTACCACAACTAAACGAGACCCTAGGACAACCAAATAGGACCCCAGCAAAACCAAGCGAGACCCTAGGACAACTAAACAGGACTCTACCAAAACTAAACAAGACCGTAGGACAACTAAACAGGACCCTAGGACAACTAAAGAGACCCTAGGGAAAGTAGGCGTTCGTTGGTGTGCGTTTTCAGCTTCTCGTGCGCCTCCCTGATGGCTTTGACCATCATCATCATCAACGGTGTCGGCTCTCAGCGCGAGTAGTTTGCCTTTCGCCCTCTCCCCGAAGCACCATGGGCAAGAGGGCAGCTGACTTGGCGACCGCGTCGCCTGCGAAGAAGGCGGCGGCGGCCTCACCAGCCGCCGCGGCCTCTCCAGCCGCTGCCTCTGACGCGTCACCAGCCGCAGCCGCTGCGGCCTCTCCAGCCGCTGCCTCTGGCGCGTCACCAGCCGCTGCGGCCTCACCAGCCGCTGCCTCTGGCGCGTCGCCCGCCGCTGGCTCTGGCGCGCCGCCGGCCGTCGCCTTTGGCGCGCCGCCTGCCCCGCTGCGCATCAATCAGCTCCTCGAGATGGAGGGCGCGTCGACGCAGCAAGGTGCTGTCAAGGACTGGGTGCGCCAAGTGAAGGGCTACGTCGACCAGGCTTTGCTCATCTTCCTGGAGCTGCGCAAGCGCGAGGTGTCCTTCGCGGTGCCCGCCCAGTGTTCTTTGATTGCGCCGTTGGCCATCACTGATGTTGCCTCTGGCGCTAACCTCGCTTCGTTTCGCGAGGTCATGGACTTCGACAACCTGGTTGCGAGCTTCTCCCGCGCCAAGGAGTACGAGGCAGCGGGGGCGGTGTGGATGTTGGACCCGGTTTGCGCGGACATCGACGACGTCACCGTAAGTCAGCTCGAGGGTGCCGCGAGCATCTGGTCGGAGGAGACGTTCCTCATCTCCTCCAAGCACGCGCCCTCGCGGCGCCTGACCTTCGACGCGCCTCTCCCCGCCTTGGTGGTCGACGCTCAGGTCGCCCAGCGCCTTGAGCCCGGCAAGCCTGGAGCTTGCTTGACAGAGCCTCTGGCCACGATCGCGGGCCGCGCGGCGGTGATCGCGTGGTATTCTGCCATGGGCGAGGCGCTCAAGGAGTCGAACGAGGACCGCGTGTGGCATCTGTTCAATGCCGCGTTGTCCGCCCCCATCAGGACGCGCGCGCTGCCCGATGCGGGCGCGACCCACTTGGCGGCCCTGAGTTTTGGAGAGAAGATGTTCACTGCGAGCGCTGCCTCTGGCGCAGATAGCTTCTGGCGGTTCGCAGAAAAAACGCGCCGCTTGACGAGCGCGCGAGCCAGTCTCGCCAAATCGGAAGCAGTGGCGAGGCTGGAGGCTGCGCTGAAGGCCTACGGCCTCCCGTTCAAAAGGGAAACCGCGCGCCGCCGCAACTGCCGCGGCGCTGAAAGGTGTGCGCACTTTCGTCCTCGACAGCGCCTGCGCCTCGGCTTTCTCGCTGGCCGAAGAATATATCCCAGAGCTTCGCGAACCTACGCTTCTCATGAAGATCGGCTTCGCGTGCTCCAAAAGGGCTGTCTCTGACGACAAGGCCAGGGGATTGTTCGTTTTCATCCTGAACACTTTCCGCGTGGCCCGCCTGGCGGGCGACGCCCCGAAAGGGCGAGGAACTGGCCGTGGGCTGGGTCTGCGGGCGCGATTGTAAATCGCCAGGGATGCCCCGCGCGCTCTTCAAGAACAATGAGCTCGTCGAGTACATTTTCTACGAGGCCTCTCTCATGCACAAGGAACATGGGCGCGAAATGGCCGCGTTCAAAACACCTTTCCGCATCCTCCAGCGGTTCGCTGCCTCTGGCGCGGATGGGCTCGTGGCTTCGCACCGCGTGTCCGACTCAGGCGGCGGCGCCGACGGGAAGGAGATATTGTTCGCGCGGCCCGTGGCTGAGTATCGGAACACCGTGGATTGCAAGTCGGAGGCGATGATCGACGTCGCGTAGCCTCTGCGGCCCGGCGCTTTCGACGAAGAAATCGTCGAGCTTGCCAAGCAGGAGATGCAGAACAGCGCGCCTGCGTTCGTCTGGCACGCGTACCTCACCGAGACCAGCCAGGAGGTGGGTGCCAAGTACCGCGCTTTCGTGACCGCCTGCACGGGCGGGCCGATCCCCGCCGACCCCGAGCTGGATGCAAATCTCGGCTTGTTGGGGGTGTCCGAGCTCGGGGAAGAACAACAGGAAGAGCTCGCCAAACTCCAGGAGCAGCTCAAACTTCTTCGCAACAAAAAAAAAAAAAAAATCGTCAGCTTGACATCTGTCGGCGCTGCCTCTGGCGCGGAGTACTCAGTGGGGCAGATGCAGAGCGCGTGGGATGCGCTCAGCCATGGGCACCGCTTCGCGAGGAAGAAGACCGACGTTCGCGCGTTCGTCCTCTCAGCGGAGCTCTTTCCGCCCAACGTCGTCAAGCAAGGCGTCAAGGCGAGGCTGTGCGAACAGTTGGCGTGCGACGAGGCGATGTTCAATCGAGTCATCGAGTTCTTCTTGCAGAAGAGGCAGAAGGATGACATCCTCATCTTCCTCGACGGCAGGAGCCGCGCGAATCGCCGGGCCATTGCGACCCTCGAGGCCAAGTTGGAGCCATGGGGCTCCCACGCGTTCGTTGAGTGCTGGATCGTGCACGAGCAGCCAAACAAGAAGGGGGATCCGCGGTCCCCGGCCAGGGCGCACAGCTACACCAAGAACGACAGGGAGACGGCGATCTTCTCGCTGCCAGTCAAGGGCCCGCGGAAGGTGGTGCACCGTTCGGAGTTCAACGCGCGCGGGGATCCTCGACCGCAGACACGACGTACACTGGCGCCACAATGCGGCGTCTTTCCGAGCCCCCTCGCCTGAGCTACGAGACCAAGGCGAGCATCCTGGGAGCTGCATCTTGCGCCAACTCGAAGATGCCGCGCCTGCAGGCAGACGTCGATTCGAAGGGCCACCCGTTCTCGTATAGCGAGGCGAAGCCCATCAGCTTGTGGCAGACGGTCATGGGGCACAACAACGCGACCCACATCGTGAACTTCACTCCAGGCTCTGGCGCCTTGGCTGTTGCTGCCGCTGGCGCAATGGAGTGCGAAGGCGTCGCTTGCAGCGATAACCATCGGGACTGGCTCGACTCTATCGTGGACAGGTGCGTGGTGCACAAGGCGGGCCACGAGGAGGGGTGCGCGCATGAATTGGGCGGCGACGCCGACTTCGTCGAGAAAGCTAGCAAGTATTTCAGCGGAGCCATGATGGAGGCGAAACGTCTGCTGATGCCGCTGGTTGACGAGGACGGCGGGGGCGAGGAGGAGGACGAGGGCGAGGATGGCGAATGAGTAGGCGACACTGCCTCTGGCGTGCCACGACGTGTGCATTTGACACAGCTGCCACCTGCTGCTGCACGGCGCCCCATGCTTCCTGGCCAGGGCCGGTCTTCCTCGTCCTGGTTTGACTCTGACTTTTGGCCGCCACGCGCGGAAGTCTCGGTTCGGAAAAAGTGATATCGTCCCCGACGACTCGCCGCCTCTCCGACGACTTCCCGACGACTCCCCGACTCTCAGACTCTCAGACTCCCCGACTCCCGACTCCCCGACCGACTCCCCGACTCCCCGATTTCGAGGAATATTGCGATCTGCCCTCAATTTCCAAAGTGCCCTGTGGTCCCCGGACTGTCCATGAGGTGCTGTTGGTACTCGTTCCTCTGCTGGCAACGCTAGCGTCGGATGCCAGCTTAGTGCAAGTGCGAAGTTCAGGTGGCCTGAAAACGGCCGAAGGGCACCATCCGTAGCAATTTGATTTCAAGCCCTTCCCGACGCCCTTCGCGATTCTTCCCCGACGCTCTTTCAAGCTATAGTCAACAACGAAAAGTTAGCACAATATCGATCCAGCCTGTGCTATCTCTGAGAATGCGCCACCCATCTCCCCGGGGAAACTTTTTCTGGGCCAAAGCGTCGATAACAGGCCGCTTTTCGAAATTACAACCCGAAATTTCACGAGCCAATTGCGCGTGCAGTTTCAGAAAATCAATAATACATCGAGTTTTTGTTTTATTTTTTTTGGCATGCACTTGCAGTGGAGAGGGCGTTTGATACGATATTTTACGCGTCGGCATTCGCGTCGGGTGACACCGGGCGCCTCAGGAGGGAGTAGATAGCACGCCCTGGGAAGGAGGAGGCGAGGGAGGGAGGGGAGGAGGGAGTAGATAGCACGCCCTGGGAAGGAGGAGGCGAGGGAGGGGAGGAGGGAGTAGATAGCACGCCCTGGGAAGGAGGAGGCGAGGGAGGGAGGGAGGAGGGAGGGAAGGCTGGGACCCCTATGGGCGTCGTCGTCGTCGTCGCCGCCGCCGCCGCCGCCCCCGCCGCCGTCGCCGTCGGGCTCCGACGCCCCGGCCCCCGTCGGGCGCCGGGCCCAGGCGCCGGGCCCCCGTCCGCGGCCCGCGGGCCGCGGGCTGTCCGACGCCCCCCTCGGGCTCGGATGTGCCAGGTCGGGCGTTGCAAGGGGTGGCGCTGGCTCAAGGTGGCCTCCGACCCCGACCTTCGACCAGCAGGGGTCGGGGGTCGGGGGTCGGGGGCCCCTTGAACCACTGCCACATCTGACAACTTCCGACCTCGGACCCGAGCCCGAATCGTCGCTCGTCGCGCGCCGCCGCGATGTGGCGCCAGGGCGTGCTGCGCGCCGCGCCCCCCGGCGGCGTGGCGCTCGACGTCGACGACGAGGACGACGACGACGAGGACGTCGCTGTCGTCGTCGTCGTCGTTGGGCTCCCCCTCCCCCTGCACGGGCTGTGCTATCTTCGTCGTCGTCGTCGTCGTAGTCGTCGTCGTCGTCGTCGCCGCCGTCGTCGCCGCCGCGTCGTCACTGTCTGTGCTATCGTCGTCGTAAGTAAGGAGGGAGTAGATAGCACGCCCTGGGAAGTCGTCGTCGTCGTCGTCGTCGTCGTCCTCGTCGTCGTCGTCGTCAACCTCGTCGTCGTCGTCGTCGTCGTCCTCGTCGTCGCCGCTGTCGTCGTCGTCGCGGACGCGGCTCGTAAAACTGGTGCGCTCAGACCCCACGAGGGGTCCTAGGGTCGATATTGAGCGTAGTTGGGCCGCTGCTGTCTCACCGCTCCCCAATCCCCCCCTTCGTCCGACCCCAGCCTAGAAATCGACGAAATCCACATTCAAAATCGGCCCCTGGACCCCTCCTGGAGTCCACCCTCTTCCTCCTCAGACTTCTCAGCTCCTCCTCTCCTCGGACTCCCCAGTCCTCCTCCTCCTCCCCCCCCTGATCCTCGTCCTGATCATCATCATCGCGTCATCGCGTCGTCGTCGTCGCCGTCGTTGGGTTCCCCCTCCCCCTGCGCGGGCTGTGCTATCGTCGTCGTCGTCGTCGTCGTCGTCGTCCTGACCTAGCCAGGAGCTCCTGGCCAGGTCAGGACATGGTAGTGAATCCCCCTGCGCGGGCTGTGCTATCGTCGTCGCCGTCGTCGCCGTCGTCGTCGTCGTCGTCGTCGCCGCTGTCGTCGTCGTCGGTGGGCTCCAGCCTCTTCCGCTTCTTCCGCCGAGGAGGCCGAGGAGGGGGCCGAAGCGGAGGGCCCGCCACCCGCCGCGCCGCCGGTGCCCCAGAAGGGCATGGGCAAGCGCGTCGTCGAGCTGAGCTCCAGCGACGACGACGACGTCATCGTCGCCCAGAGGCCGCCGCCTCCCAGAGGCCGCGGCGGCGGGCGCCGCGGCGGGCGCAGCGGTGGCCGAGGTGGCCGCGGCGGGCGCCGCGGTGCCGGCGCTGCCCGCGCGGGCGGCGGGAGGGGGCGGCTGGCGCTGCCCGCGCGGGCGGCGGAGGGCGAGGGCCTCAACTCGCCCGAGCAGCCGTCGTCGTCGTCGGGCGACGAGTTCAGGGCGAGCCAGTTCACCGGCGTGTTCACCGACGCCAGCGCCGCCAGCGCCGACGCCGGCGCCAGCGCCAGCGCCGCCCCCGTCCACGTGGAGCCGCCGGCGGCGTCGGGCGCACGGATCAGGACGTTTGCCATGGTCTGTGCCGACGCCAGCGCCAGCGCCGCCCCTGTCCACGTGGAGCCGCCAGCGGCGTCGGACGCATGGGCTGCGGTCTGTGGGCTGCGCCCGCCACCTGGCGCGGACGACAGCGTCTGGGCTCGCCCAGCGGACATGACCCCAGCGGTCATCGCGCTGGGAGACATCGATCGCCCGCCGGCGGCGCCAGCGCCGACGCCAGCGACGCCAGCCCCGACGCCAGCGCTGGCGCCAGCGGCGCCAGCGCCGCCAGCGCCAGTGGCCGAGGCGGCGCAGGGAGGGCCGCCGACCGAGGAGTCCTCGCCCAGGACGCCGCCTTCGCCCTCCGCGTGGTACGCGACGCCGCCGTCGACGCCCGAGGCGGCGTTCCTGGCCTACGGGGTGCAGCCGCCGCCGCTCCCCGCGCCGACGACGCCGGAGGCGGCGTGCCTCGCCGAGGCGCCGAAGACGCCCGAGGCGGCGCCGCCGCCCGCGCCCAGCGCCGCCGCCGCCGCCGCGGCGGTGCCGCAGCCGGCGCGCCCGAAGAGGCCGCTCCCTAGGCCGATCCGCGCCCTGCCCGCGCTGCCGCCGCCGCGCCCAGCGCTGCCCGCGCTGCCGCCGCCGCGGCCATCGGCGAGCCCAGCGCTCGGGTGAGCGGGAGGAGAAGCGGCACCGCCACCACCAGGGGGGGCGACCGAGACGACGACGGCGAGGGGACGAGGTCGACGACGAGGACGACGGCACCACCACCACCAGGGGGGGCGACCGAGACGACGACGACGTCGATGCCGAGGACGCCGACTCTGGATGATGATGAGGTCCCCGATGACTGGGAGGGGGGACCACGCCACCTCGATCCCTCCGCCACCGCGTCAGTGGTGGTGGTGCCGCTCGGGTCCTAGGCACGGCGGCGGCGCGGCGAGCGCGGCGGCGGCGGGGGCGGCGCCCGCGGCGGAGCGCCGGCGGCCGCCGCCTGCGCCGCGGGGCTCGGTG